CAACTGAGACATATAGTAGAGAAACTGTAACTAGTGTTGTACATAAATTTTCATCAATGAGCGCTGGGGACTCAACAGAAGAAACAGTTACAAGTAAAGATTTTACACCTCAAACAGCTCCAACCACATTTACTATGAACGAGGACAAAGATCTGTCAGCAAAACCATCTGAATCCACCATTATTAATGTTTCAGAGACTCTGTTCTCATCTGCTCAGACTGGACATTTAGATGAAACATTATCTGAAAGCACTGATACAATGATCTTGGAGAAGGCAACTACCAAATATGGGCTGTCACCTTCAAGTTTTTCTTCAAGCTTGACGTCCATGGAGTCTGAAGCTTCAGGAGATGACACCTCTGATTTGTTTAGCAAAGAATTCACAACAACTAGTTCTTCACTTTATACTCCAACCAAATCAGACTATGAACTTACCAAAACACCATCTGACACAACAGAAACAATCTCAGTTTCCAGCTCAACAGATGCTGAAGCTATAAGAGATCAGACAACTGGGACATATAGTAGAGAACCTGTTTCCTTTATTGTCTCTATGTTTTCATCACTGAGCACTGGGGACTCAACAGGAGAAACCGTTACAAGTAAAGATGTTACATCTCATACAGAAGCAACCACAACTACTCTGATGGAGGACAAATATCTCTCAGCAAAACCATCTGAATCCACCATCATTAATGTTTCAGAGACTCTGTTCTCGTCTGCTCAGACTGGACATTTAGATGAAACATTGTCTGAAAGCACTGTTACAAGGGTCTTGGAGAAGACAACTGCCAAAGATGGGCTGTCACCTTCAAGTTTTTCTTCAAGCTTGACGTCCATGGAGTCTGAAGCTTCAGGAGATGACACCTCTGATTTGTTTAGCAAAGAGTTCACAACAACAAGTTCTTCACTTTATACTCCAAACAAATCAGAACAAGAAACACCATCTGACACAACAGAAACAATCTCAGTGTCCAGCTCAACAGATGCTGAAGGTACAAGATATCAGACAACTGAGACACATAGTAGAGAACCTGTTTCCTCTCGTGACTCTACTGTAACTACTGCTGTACATACATTTTCATCACTGAGCACTGGGGACTCAACAGGAGAAACTGTTACTAGTAAAGATGTTGCATCTCATACAGCAACAACCACAGCTACTCTGATAGAGGACAAAAATCTGCTAGGAAAACCATCTGATTCCACCATCATTAATGTTTCAGACACTCTGTTCTCCTCTCCTCAGACTGAACATTTAGACGAGACATTATCTGAAAGCACTGTTACAATGACCTTGGAGAAGACAACTGCCAACGATCTACTGTCACCATCAAGTTTTTCTTCAAGTTTACCATCTACAGAATCTGAAGCTTCGGGTGATGAGACTTCTGATATGTTCAGCAAAGAGTTCAGAACGGGAAGTTCTTCACTTTATTCTCCAACCAAATCAGATAATGAACTTAATAAAACATCGTCTGACATGACAGGAATAATCTCAGTGTCCAGCTCAATAGATGCTGAAGCTACAAGAAATCAGACAACTGAAACACATAGTAGAGAAACTGTAACTAGTGCTGTACATGCATTTTCATCACTGAGTGCTGGGGACTCAACAGGAGAAACAGTTACAAGTAAAGATATTACATCAAATATAACAAAAACCACAGCTACTATGAACGAGGACAAAGATCTGTCAGCAAAACCATCTGAATCCACCATTATTAATGTTTCAGAGACTCTGTTCTCATCTGCTCAGACTGGACATTTAGATGAAACATTGTCTGAAAGCACTGTTACAATG